AAATGCTATATCTGGCCGTATTAACAAAGCGCCCAGCAAACAAATATTACCTTACCGTAAGATTGTTTTTAACTCTTTCCTGCATGAGGTAAATTTCAAAGTTTTTTGTGCTGCACACGGTGGTGCTAGTGGAAACAGCCCTGCTACACAACTCATCAATAATGAAAAGTAGCGATCTGAGTTCAAACAACATCCCCAGATCTAATTTGTGGGGTTACAGCGGTCGATAATGGAGTTGTGGATGCTGAGTTGACCAAAAATGAAGAAAGAAGCAGAGAAAACCGTCGAGGAAACCCTAAGAGTCGCAAGACTCCCATTGAGAAAGGAAGGGGCGGGGCCGGACGAGTTGTACGGACTCGTTTGCTCCATGGCTGCACTAGTCCGCGCGTATTTGAATTAGCCGCTACGCCGTAAACCACGCTGCATGACTCGTCCAAACGCTAAGACTAGTCGACATACGTTGACTTTGTAAGGCCCTAGCAGCATTGTCGCGCACTTTCGAGCCGCGACGTGGCACACCTGTAATACTTTTCCTTGTCGTTCTTTGCCCTCCTTCGTTTCCCGGCTTTGCTTCGTTAATTTATTACGCCATTTTTGGGCTGGCATGTCGCTTAGACGTATGGAAATAAACAACTGAATAAAAATACTAATGGACTACCCTACCCCACCTGCTGAATAGAATCTTCAACATGACTCCTGCTGGTGGTGTTGCTTTAAGCGTTACAACTTTATAGGAAAGAACACATCACCGAGAGGGTGAATGTAAAAGGAAGCTCGGTCGTATTGTAAATTTTGAACACTCTAAATAATCATTTTATTAGGAATTAATTCACGAAACAAAACTAAAAGATTGCACATTTCACTGAGGTAATGAGTAAGTCCGTGCTATGTACATGGCAGGATAAATCAGCCTTCCATCAACCACGACAAGGATAGCATTGCTGAAAATAAGGGGTTCGATTTCGATGGAATACTCTTAAAATTGAGAATACACAAAATGAGACAGATATTTTTTGTAACACGGCTCACCGGCAAACCGGCGTTACGCTTCTTTCGCTTACGGCTGATATCAGGTGTACAAATATTGCAGTCCTGCTGAAATCATAAATATTTAGAACGACTCTGAAAATCCAATAAATAGAAAACAGTGAAACAACATTCAGCCCTCGTCGCATCACTTCTGAAAATTTCGGACTTCAGGAAGGATAAAAGGATAGGGCGCTGGGCGTTTACCATCGTGGGACGCGCCACGCATTCTACTTCTATTCTGCGTGTTTCAAATGCGATTTGGCTTACATAGTGATTACGGTGGTTAGCTGGTGTATAGTCGTTGTGTTAATTCTCCCATATCATATAACCGACCCTAGAAGGAGGGAAGACAGGAATCACTTCTCAGCACATACAGTACCGCAAAAGTAATGGCCGGAATCACTTTTCGTAAATTACCGTTCCCTCTATAAAATTTTCTGGGTAATTGAAATTTTGACCCGAACTGCGAAGATTAGGGAACATTTGTCAAACACTGCCTCTTTGGGAAGTCCCAAAATTTGCATGAAACCTTGTTTATTTTGTTTTAAAGCTGTTTTTACTATTAATTTCCGTTTCTGACTGCAGTTCGCTTTTCTCACAAGAATTCTGGCCTACGAAGAAAACTTCTGCCTCAGGCAAGACTCGAACCCGCACGTCTCGTTTTCCAGGCAAATGTGTTACAAGTTACGGGGGCTCAGTTTCGCCCTAGCCCAGTTTTTATGGTGTCGCTTTGCTTTGTAAGCTTTGATTCTCCTAAAACTTGAGAAGTCGGAAAAAAATATAATCATTCAAACATTCAAAATTTGAATCGAAATGAACATGAGAAAAAAATTATGTGCAAATAATTTTAATCATGATGAAAATTTTGATTGCTACTACTAAAGTGATCGAGGAAGAAACTTATGCTATTAGTTCGAGGCTTTCACCTAGACTATTTATAGCATCCCTGAAACTGAAAAACTTACGAAAAGATTCCTCTTGACTCGATGTCGACATTGTGGGAAGGCTATGCAGGTTTGCTGAAAAAATTACTGTATTTCACGGCTAAGATTAGTTTCAATTACTTAAACAGTCTGTAACGATTTTCTGAATAGTTTAAGTTGATTCTTCTTTGATCTCATTTATAACTATTATTAGAAGTTGTTTCTTAAGAGCTTTACAAGAGCTGACGACAAGTCAAGATAATCGGTGAAAATCTAACTCCGGGGACCCCTCCCCCCCCCCTTGTGCTGTCCAGTTGCTAAAGATCAGAACAACTGCGTACTTTATCGATAATCAAACGTCATAAACCTTCTTCTATCGATCTCAGGTGGTATGGAAGACTTAGATTTCTACATTTCCAATTGCGCAGCGGCGAAAAAACGTCCCAGCCGGGTAATTGACATTTTTGCATTGCTACCAGGAGCTGCCAGGGTGATCACCTGATACAACAACTGTGCGAGGCAAGGTCACCGTCCGCTCGACTAATCGAACGAGGGGCTCGGGAGGTTTTGGTGAGAATAGGACACGTTTACGATACTAGGAGAATCAGGCAAATGACTGGTGGTCGCGCTTTAGAAAACCAATTATCCTCTCCGTCCCCGTGCCCCCTCCTCGATGACATTGTAAGAGAAGGTTGGGCGAGTTGGGCTGTGTCGTCTGGTCTCAACTCGCCAATGAAGTAAATCATAAAAAATACTGGCGGAAAGTTGGTGTAGGGCAAGTGGCCGCTCACCACGCGGTCGGGCTATCAAAGTCCTGGCCGTGAGTCGCCCCGGGCGCTACCAAGTTTCCATCCCTCCCGTCGGTAATTGGTACCCAGACTTGTCTGGGCGGATAAAAAAACTGACTTGAACATCGTGGCCACGCAGCCCTTGTATAGGCCTCATAGACAATCAAGATCATGGCGAAATGTACAATTAGAGTATAAATGCGTGCCGCATACCCAAATTGGATTATCGAACGGCAATGCTTTGTCTTATATCTTTAAATCAAATACTATTGAGCAAACCATGAGGTGAGGTGCGAGGAATGCGAGAAGGGAAGTAGGATCGTATTGGGGAGCCTACTAGAGCTGATAGTGGTTGTAGAGGGCATCGAGACCCCCCCCTGAGAGGGGGGCGCAAAATTCTTGAAAAAGTGTAAACATGACGGTTATCTCTGTGCGTCAGTGAGTAGGTGCACGTACTCCACAAGAGCCGTACGTGTTTCTTATCTAGTCCTGTAAGGCTCCGGAGAGGGCCCTCTAGCAGCTATACCATACAGGATAGGATGACAAGGAATGCCCCTCCCATCCTGAACTACTACCTCCTATTTCAAAAAGCGAGAAAGTGTCGATGCGACATGCACCACATGAGTGTAACGGACGGCCTTCGCACAATGTTTAATGTTTTCTGCCCATGAAATTATTAAGCGCTGTCGCAGTGTATTCTACTCGATTGTCACTAATTACTCACCGCTATCAGTAACGCGAAATCAGCTAAGCCGAACAAGTTTAACGCAGATTCACTTGGAGGCCTGTCCGTCAATTGCGTGTTTGTCTGCACTTGACACATCCTCGGTTTTTGCAGGGGAGGTTACTTATTCTCGTAATCTGATCAACGGCACTTCTCATGATTCCACTTCTTTTCTCAGCTACTGACGCAAAGTTTAAACCGTCATCAGTTCAGGATTTTTTGACAGGCCGAGATATGCTTCTCCAACTCACCTCCACCCCCTCCTCTCCTTTTGAATTCATGCTCACTCCGTTGGAACACGAAATTTAACCTTTTACCCTCCTTTTTAGGAAAAGCCACGAACGAAAAGCTGCTGTGGCGATCAAAGCTTTCACGACGAAACGCCCTGTGCCGCAAACTTCCGAAGCACTCCACTCCGAAAGCGTCACCCCTACATTTTCAGTGATCTTGGGGGCTGTTGGCTGTGAGGCTTTTCTTGATCGGTTTGTTATATCCTTTCGGTATGAATTCCCATTTCTATGTAATGCTTATCAACTGCAAAACCTGCCATACGCTAGTTGGCATAAAGGCGCTAATGATCTGTCATAAGGCGGGGAATCGTTACGGATATTCTTCAACAGTTTATTGGTTTTTTTACCGCCATTTTTGGCGTCCAAACGAGCAACCGCAGTCCGCCGTTAAATCCTTCAGAATCTATCGTAATGTCAAATGATGATCTACATATTTATGCCCAATAACCGATGACTATTTTTGTGCACACGTCGCGTTACGCAATGTTTGAGCAACTTTTATTGAAACAACCTCCGACGCTCTTTAGTATGGTGATCCGAATTTCTTTTCACTCGCTTCCACTGAGCCACCGCCCGTACAAAACCTGGCATTTTGCGTTTTCCATGCCTTGAAAAATTTAATTAGAAATGAAATAAATTCGAAAATCGAGAAAACCTTCAATATGAGCCATATCTTCAGCCACTTTTGTATGCTCACCTCGCTTTCTTACAAATTTCTAGATTTATGCTGACCAACAGGGACTACGAAATGGACGGCTTAATCCAGCCTCTTAACGTCCTAAACGTTAGCTTCTCCTCAAAAGGTAAGCTTAGAATACGCATCGTTGACGTCAAATTCTGGTGTTTTTCATGATTAATTTGAGACAACCTCTCGCTTGCTCGTGGTATTATTGTAACCCTTCTTGAATCGGCGTATATCGAGCTTCATAAACATTTCGGTCCTTCGCTCACCTTTGCCTTGTTTAGACGAGGATATTGTCGTCATCCTATGAAATTAGAAAAATAGCAGAGCTTGGAATTAATTGTTTGAAACAAGATCGCGAAAAACGATTACGAAATTTTGTAGAAGACGGATGTATGAAAATGTAGAGGTATGCCCAGCTAGAAACGGTGGGATTCAGGCCAGAAACGCGCTATGATGCCGTGAATAGGTGGTCAAGGCGCTCCAGAAATCAGCTGCCCGGTTCTCGACACGCCCCCCCTGCACATGGAGAATGGAACTTCACTTTTCCGAAGTAAACTCCTACGCAATCGTTGAGTCCTTTCCAAGCGTTTTTTTTGTGGGCGGGTCATGAAGCAGCGATCGATTATCGATCGCCAGTGGCAAGATGGCTATGATTAACTTCATGCGCGAGTGACCTCTATGTTACGGTGCAATTCGCTCCACTAACGAGCAATTGGCGAAAAATGGTGCTACTAGTTGAGGGGTACCACCGGCCGGCGCGACGCTTTACTCGTCTGCAACTTATGAGTGCTGTCTCAAGGCTTACATTTTAGCCGCATCGTAACAGTTACGAATCAGTGCATCCGTGGAATGAGCTTCGCAGAGCGCCGCACGCGCTGCTGGCCCCCGCACATTAAGTTAGTAGAAAAGGGGCTGTTCCGGGTTTAAACCTTCTTTGTTTTTCCCGAGCCCGTTCCTACCTTGCTTACATTTCTTGGTATTAGCTTGGTGCAAAATTGTGCTCAAATGTTGGAGGACGACCCCAAACGATTCCTTCGGCCAAACAACTGGCCATACATATTTTACTTTGAGCTTATTTACTCATTTACTTTTACTTTTACGAAAATGATCAATAATGGTTTGTTACCACATTTTTCTCTCTAAGCATTTACCTTCAACATGAGCCTAATAATTCTCTGAAGTATGCCTCGTTGATCGTCGACTAAATGCCAGAAAATATGATCGCTTATACCAACTTGGCAACTGAAAATTATGACGCTAACATTGGCACATGAAGAAATAAACAAATAAGCTTGAAGAGAATGATAGTGTACTTTTTTGCAAACTCTCCCATAGAATATGTGTCATCAACTTGATGAACCCCTGTGAAAATACCCGTATTGAAAGGACATTTTTACATTTGTCTATGTGCGGTAGTTTAGCGCGAATGTAAAAATATATGGATAAATAATAAATATGTGGAGAATCTTTCTGAACTCCTAAAATAAAGGCTTTTCTGCACTGTGCGAATTAATGTTTGAATCAGGAAGTATAAGAGACACAGAGCGCCGAAACAAGCTAAAAGACTTGAAAATGATAGAACGCATGGGACGACAGAGACACAGACGTCAACACGCTCATTACCTTGGGGGCAATCGCAAAGGAGCCAGCTGCCTTCCTTCACTCATTCAGTGTGGCGGTGGCCTTGTGAGTATGATTTCAGGTCCGATTCCATGGTCTTTGGACTGCCAACCACCACAAAAAGTTCATTTCGTCCTATCTAGTCCCGTAATTGATGAGCGGTTTAGTGGTGAAATTAAAGCGCTGGGAGAATTTAGTAGATCCCTGTGTGAGCAGAAGACACATCCAATCGCTTTGGTGATTCAGACGGCCAAGAGGTTACGTGGCACGTCCACAGAGTCAACGCTCAACTTTTTATCATCCTCAGTTGTTCTTTCTGATGAACGTCATTAGTTGAATAGATCTCATCATACAATAAGTGCAAATCAATTTGTGAATAAGTAATAAATATTGAAAAAAGACGAATCCTTGAGAGTTGCTCATAGCAATTCTAAATATAGTATTCTGGAACGATTACCTCGAAGCCCAATTTGTAACCTGCTTTGCGCCTTATGTCGGCGATCGCTTCAGAAAGCGTCATTCTGGGAGACTGCTGAAATGTCCAGTAGAGAGACAGCAATATCAAAAAAGTGAATTTTTCTCACCTCTTCTTCAGATTCCTCGGATGAATTCGTGGATCTCTTCTTCCGACTAGCCAGTGCGAGCGTAACCCAGGCGGGACAAGGGACACAAGCCTGAGATTTCTCTCTTATCCCCTTGTTTAACGAGATTCAATGGGCTATTGAACTTACCGCGCCTGCGTCTGGAGAGAAGAACTGACGCTTTTGACGAATATGCTGCTCTTCGTGCTCCTTGAGAGCCTGCTTATGAGCTGCAACTTCCTAGAATTCACTGGCATCAGAGCTTTACCCTTTTTTGGCAAATTCGTCATTGCGATATTGTTCAGGCTTTGCTTGATATTTTTCAAATATTGATTGCACTCAAGCGTTTGCACACCTTGTCAATCCTCATCCATGTCGCTTTCGTCGCTTCCTTCTGTGCAAGTACACAGTTGCCCTGGCAAATTATGCCACCCAGCATGCAGCTGAATCCACCTTTACATTTTCTGGATTTATTCACCAATTATCCCCTACTATAATACAATGCGCGATGCTTGGCTGTCCCGCTCTGTCACGGATCTGGTATCAAGCGAACAACAACCTACAGGTCCAGTCAAGTTTGGGAGGAAATAACCACTAATCCTAGATAGTAAAAAGCAACACATCTATCAGCCAAGCGGAGCCCGCCACATGGCTGCTGCGTGCATCGGTTGATTTTCACATTCGAGTCAACAGACAAGCAGCTCGAGACGCGGACAAAAGTGAGGCATAGGTGTGGGTCGGTAAAGCCAGATCGAACTGAGGAGATTCCCACCTCAGTGCGGCGGGCCTCTCTACGTAAATGAGCTGTGCTCAGCTGAAATATTCAGAACTCGGTTAGAGGAAAGGCTACAGACAGGAACAAATTAGGCAGCTAGTCGGAGCAATGCCTAAGGTATTTCTCACAGCCATGATTGAACGCGAGAGACCCGCCACAATGGACGGAGCGTGGCGTAAGCGGACCAGCACTTTCTACAAGCAGCTCATAAATCGGACTCCGAAATGACTTAGAGACCGGAAAACAACGGATAAAGAGTAGGAAGGAGGGAACTAAATGTCAGGGACGGCGTGGTTACATCCAAAAGTGGGCGGAGTTTTGCGCAATCTAGGCTTATAACTCGGTTCCTAGAGTCCCGGATTCCATCGGGAAAAAGCGTAGGAGGGGGTTGGCAGAGGGAAGGGTCACGTTGTTGCGCGGGCGGAGCATTGCACCAAGTGGGCCGGGTTTGCCACGACTCATTAACTCGCTTCCAATAAGTTCCAGAGATGGGAGAAGCTAGAAAAAGTTGGGGCAAGAGATGATAGACCGACTGATATCCAAGTGGGCACCCAACAGCACCAAAGTGGGATCCCGGGGTTTGCACCAAAGACTAGATAGCTCGATTTGTCCCCTACAAGACCTCATAATTCGGCTCTTGAGATGACTTAGAGACCTGAAAAAAAAATATGCGGGAAGGTGAAAATAGGAAGTAGAGGTGATAGGTGAACGCTGGCCGTGGCACCACCCGGATGTGGGCGGAAGTTTGCACCGCTCCATAACCTCTGGTTCTAGAAGTTCCGACGGACCGGGAAATGATGCAATAAGTATGGGTATGGGTAGGTTGAATTGCCTATTGTGGGCTAACCATGCACAAAGTGGGCGGGGTCTGCCCTCAGAAATTTCGCTTGACTCATAACGCCATTTACAAGACCTCATAATTCTGCTCCCGAGATGATTAGAGACCTGAAAAAATCATGCCTGAGGTGAAAGGAGGAGGAGAGTTGAATGTGACGCTGGGCGTGCACACCCGGAGGTGGCGAGATTGCCACCGCCTCTCATAACTCGTCTCAGAAGTTCCGACGACCGGGAAAATGTGCAATAAGATGAGGTAGTGGAGTAGGGTTGGAATGCCATTGTTGGGCTAACCCATGCACCAAAGTGGGCGGAGGGTTTGCCACGGTACTTCATAACTCGGTTCCAATAAGTTCCAGAGATGGGCCGAGAAAAGGAAGAAAAAAGGTTGGAAAGTATAAGAGATGATATCGACTTGATATCAGTGGCGCACGCCACGCACCAAAGATGGGCGGGGTTCTATTGCCACAAACTAACGTTAGCTCGATTTCGTCCCCTACAGACCTCATTACATTCGGCATCCGAGATGACTTAGAGATCCTGAAAAAACAGAATGCCTGAGGTGAGAGGGAGTAGAGGCCTATGAATGTTGAACGCTGCATCAGGCGTGGCACCGACGCTGGGCGAGTTTGCCACGCTCTCATAACTCGGTTTTCCTAGAAGTTCGTACGCCGGGGCGAAATCGGTGCATAAGTATTGAGGTCAATGGAGTTAGCGGTTGAATTGACCATTGTTGGCTAACATGCACCAAAGGGGCGCGTCGGCCCTCAGAAATTCGTGACTGCAATAACGCCATTTACAATGACCTCATAATTCGGCTCCCGAGATGACTAGAGGACTGAAACAAAATAATGCCTGAGGTGAAAGTAGGAGTGATGTGAATGTGAACGCTGGCGTGGCACACGCCGCGATGCTGGCGTGAGTTTGCCACGCTCTCATAACTGCGAGTTCCGAGAAAGTTCCGACGACCGGGGGAAAATGTGCATAAGTATTGAGGTATGGGAAGTAGGTTGAATGCCACTTGTTGCGGACTAACCAGCACACAAAGTGGGTCGGGTAGCCTCAAAAATTCCCGTGACTCATACGCCATTACAAGTTGACCTCAAATCTCGGCTCCGAGCAGATGACTTAGGAGACCATGAAAACAATATGCCTGAGGTGAAACGTAGGGAGAGTAGGCTGAATGTTAAACGCTGGGCCGTGGCACACCCGCGATGTGGCGGCGGAAGTTGCCACCGCCTCTCAATAACTCGCAGTCATAGCAACGATTCGACCGCACCGGCGGAAAAATGTGCATAGAGATTGAATGTGGTGTAGTTGGGTTTGGAATGTCGCATGTTTGGGCTAACTCTCATTGCCACCAAAGTTGGCGGCGGTCTGCCTCCACGAAATTCGGTGACTGCATAACGCATTAAAGACACTATAATTTCGCGCTCCGAGAATACTTAGCAGACCTGAAAAAAAAAATATGCCTGAGGGTGTAATGTAGAGTAGACGCATTGCAATCGTGTAACTGCTGGGCGTGCACACCCGGATGTGCGGCATTCAGTTTGCCCAACCTGCTCTATAAACTCGCGTTCCTAGAGTTCCCCGGCGAACTCTCGTGGAAAATTGCATAAGTATGAGGTTATGGGAAGTATATAGGTTGAATGCATTGTTGGCTAACCGCACCACAGTTGCGGTCGTCCTCAGAAATTACGCTGACTCATAACGCCATTCTCACAAGAACTCATAATTCGTGCGTCCGAGAGACTTAGAAGACTGAAAAAAATATGCCTGAGGTGAAAGTAGGGAGTAGAGGCATTGAATGGGACGGCTGGGCGCTGCCACACCCGGATGGCCGGAGTTTCAACCGCTCTCTAACTCCAGGTTCCTAGAAGTTCCGACGACGGGGAAAAAAATTGTGATAAGTACTTGAGGTATGGGAGTAAGGGTTGAATGCATTTGTTGGACGCTAACCATGCTTGACCAAAGTGGGCGGGTCGCCTCAGAAATTCGTGCACTCATAACGCCATTTACAAAGCCTATATTCGGCGTCGAGATGACTTAGAGACCTGAAAAAAATATGCGGAGCGTGAAAGTAGGACAGCTTAGGTTGTAATGTGAACGCTGGGCGTGGCACACCCGGATGTTGGCAGGAGTTTTGCCACCGCTTCTCATAACTCGGTTCCTAGAAGTCGTAACGACCGGGGAAATGTGCATAAGTATTGAGGTTAGAGTCAGGATTGAATGCTCGTTGGGAGCCTAACATGCACCAAGTGGGCCGGGGTCGTCTGTCCTCAGAAATTCGGTAGTACTTGAACCGCTCATTTACAATGACTCTCATAATGCCGGCGCTTCCCTGAGATTGACTTACAGAGCCAGCCTTGGAATAAATAATTATGCCTTGATTCTGCGTGAAGGGATTAGGAGTAACGGCGAGGTTGACTGTGAACGCCGGGGCGGTGGCGAACACGTCGCGGGATGTGGGCGGGAGTTGCGCTGTAAGTAAGAGTACGCGAGCAGATAAAGCTAAAATCAAAGCAAACAATACTGTATGGAGCCGGAGTGTCTACGCGCTGGCAGCCCCTCTCGATGCACGCGAAGGGCCGTGCGCAGACCAAACTGTAATGAATACAATGAAGGGATTAGTCATTTTGTCTTACAAATTGAATGTATGTATACATATATATCATTCATGCAATATGATGAATGAGGGTAGTTATCAGTTGAACAGGTATAAAAGTTAGAAGTTTTAGTGGTTGGTGCGGAGGGAGGAAAGCATAGTTGAGAATATTGCCGGCCTTGTTCAGGGATTTGTATGCGTTCTAAGTATTCGAGTTATCTGAAAGCGCCTTTGCTATGTTTTGCATGGCCAAAATCGTACTCATGGCCAGTTTCGCGTATATTGAGGCCGCCGCGCGACCGCACGCGAACGCACTTGGATCGGGCGTACTCTCGTTCGATGAAGTGCAATGAGGGTCTACAGTCACTCCCTTGCAGAAATCGGAATTATATGAAGAGAGAAGTTACCGTTGGGCCCCAGTTCAAAAAATATGACGTAAAAAGTGAGAAAGATAGAGATAAAAATAAATACTGGAGATAAATAGAATTAAAAGAATCAGTGACTGAGCAAACCTCCTTCTCCCATAGTCTTACTGAGTAGCTTGACAATGTCGAGAATTCCCGAAGGATTGTACGCTTGCCGTTTCATTCTAGTCACAAGGAACTCGTCCACTTCACATTCGGGGCCGGTGGCACGCTTTTCACGGCGTAGACACTTCTGAAATAAGATGCTCGGTAATCAGCTTGCCGCCAGCATTCTTACCGTCGTGGCTTTGTTTCGATTTTGGTCTTCGACATAAATTTTGCTACGCTCAAAACAAAGACGTAGGTCAGGATGAGCGCCAGCGCGCACGTGGTGTAGCCCGCCGGAAGTCTAATTGTAGCGCGCCGCTCCAGTCCTCGAATCCTAACCTCTTTCCCACCTTTACAGATACCGCCTAGGATTTGCTAGAGAAGTTCTAAACACTGCTTCTTCTTCTTCACCCTAGCGCTAGTCCCGTGCAGTCGCAGGGTCCGCTGTAAAATTCAAAAAAATTGCGGAAAAGTCATTATATCACGTACCTCAGGATTACTCGAGAACTCTTCAAGGAAAATTTTACGATAGGTTCGGGGGTTGGAGAAGGGAAGTATTCCTGGGAAAACACGCGGCTCTCCTGAAACGGCGAGACGATGCGCGTTCTACAGTGAATAGTATATCTATGTGATCGCAACGCTACAGGCCCTTCGACTGGCCACCTCTTTGCCGTGGACTCTAGCCATGGATACGCCAGGATACAGAGCAGAGCACCGACGATAATGGCGGTTTTCACGATCTCTATATTTTTTCACGTCCCATTTTAAATTAAGCCAGAGACGGTGGTGCGCGAAAGAAGGAAAAATGGATGGGAACCCTTTCCATGCCGCACCGTTATTTGCATGCTGCTAACGACTTTCATCGATGCTCTGCTCTCTTCAATCGCTAATGCCTCTATTCTGAAACGGCTAAAGAGCGACAGTCACGGAGATGACTTGGGCCGCACTGGCGCCAAAGCCGCGCCCAGTTGCGTGCCGCGTGGAGGCCAATGCATAAGCTGTGCGAATTGAACGATGTAACCGGTCCACACCTTCAGTGGCCCCACCCCGTCATTCCAATAGGTAAAGTTCCCTTTCCGAAATTTTTTTTTATCGTGGTATCTTCCTTGACGGCTCAGGCAGTGTCTAGCGAGTTCGGCCAAATGAGGAAGACAGAACGTTCCAAAAAAGTTATCATCATTTCTAGTGCTAGGGCATTCTCAACGGTCTCAACTCCATCGCTGCACCTACAAGACCACCTCTGAGGCCAAAAATGACGGTGACTTTCGTAATTCGATGCAATTTTCAAAAAATCAATTGGTATGCTGTTTTACTATTCGAAAAAAAGTAAGGACTTTATAAAGGACAAACCTCTCTCGGCTTCACGCTTCTTCCTACCGTAATACCCGCCATTGCATGGTTCACAGTACTGAGATTCGATGTTTCTTCTGCTCGACGTGGTGCCAGCATGCATTGCGGATGTGGGAGACACTGTAAATCGTAAATTTAATAATCTTAAATAAAGTTGCAATTATCACAGAGAAGCCGAATTATGTAGGAGCAAAAGTTGGCCCCAAACGGGAATCGATCCTGATATGCCTTATTTAACAGGCAGAAATGTTACCATTACACCTTCTGGTTACTACAACTGGACTCAGCTTTCAGTGAAAGTTTTACAATGCTCATGGTGAATATGATCGTTTTTTTTTTACAATGAATAACGATTATTTCAAAAATTGATCATAAAAATCAAAAAAATACAAAAATTGGTTTTAAAAAGCAGGCGGTGATCGCAATCGGAGTGCGCTGCGGTTTCGATGACGCATTGAATCTCATTGGTGGAAGGGCATTAGCCAGTAAAGTCACTCGTATCGGCGGTTCTGACCGCACTCCTTCGCGCTGAAGGTTCTGAAGGTCAGCAATAGCGTTCGATGACCTTATAAAAACCGCAACCCCCTTCAGCCATCGTGGTCACTGCCTTATATGGGTGGGACTTGCATTTCTGCACCATTTCTAGACTTTCGGAAAAGGTGGCCTCCGCGGGCAATCGACAAGCTACGGATGATCATGAGTGGCCTAGGAGTCTACCACCCACTCCTGAATGTGCCTATTTCCCTATTTTTCTCACACCCGATGTTTACCAATGGATGACGACACAACCAAAATGAGTGAGACACCTGCCTTTTGTCCCATCTCTATCTTTGTTTGATTTCAATTATTTTTAATTGGTATATGTTGGACGCGGTAACGCTTAAAGTTTAATCCCTATGCATTCAATAAAATATGACTTACGCTTACCGCGAAGTTACAAAAAAATTAAGAGAAAAATAAGAGTAAATTTCAAACATACCCCTGCTCTCTTTCCGCGAAGATGCGGTGGAGGAATGCCAACAGGCGACACAGGCGCTTGGACGGCAAACGGATTGTTGATGCTCTCTGTTGGCTGGAGATACGTACAGGGAACACAGTCTAATGAACGCTTTGTACGTTTGATAATTGGACGGCCGTCGACGCATACGGAGCACTGAAAATAATATTCCTCAAATGTTGAGATTCGAAATCCGGATCCTATCTCGCCA